ATATTCCTGTAAGGTGCTTGCTTCCACTAATGTTGACGCAACTCATTCCATAGGTCATTCACCCTATTAGAAAAATATAACGGTCTTCATTGTAGCATAGCCTGTCTTTTCCAAATGTTAAACTTGTGTCCTTTCGCCCTATTTATTATCTTAAGCACAAACAAATTAGAGCTCTTTATCTTATCGATCCACTAGATAATCTTATCAACTTAAAAAAAAACACCTTTATCCTCTTTTCTCAATATAAAATAAGGTAAGAGATCTGAAACTAATCCAGTAAGACAAACCTTTTATCAACGGGATCATCCTAGAATTCCTCTGAATCTTCTGTAAAATAAGTCAATATCCTTTATTGGATAAGGAGACCAAAACTGCACACAATGTTCGAATTGAGGCCTAGCTAATGATTTGTGTATAGAGAGATAATTACCTTATTTGTCTGTAATTAGTGTGCCTGTATATACAACCTAAAATGTTATTAGTTTTACTGCTACTAACATAGCATTGTTTCAATAGCTTGAGTGACATATCTAACACTATGCCGAAATTCTTCATTCACACTATTGAGGGGGTTCCCATCAATACTACACGTGTGATCCAAATTATGATAAACCTCGCACTTACTATAATTAAAACTATTTGCCAGATATTTGTCAAACCTACCAATTAACCGAAGTTATTCTGTAGTATCACAACATCTTCAATACCACTAGAAGTTTATTGTTATCCGCAAACGTTGGTAATTATGCTCCTATCAATAACACTGTTGGAAATAACAAGAACAAATGCCCAATAACTGACCCTTAAGGCATTGTACTAATAACAAGGACCCAGTCTGACTGAACTCCATTAATTACAACTTTTTTGCATTCTCACATCCAACTACCTACAATCCAACTAACCAGTCTTTCTCCAGCCCCCACTTCTGGTAGATCAGTAGACAGAAGGCCGGTGTCCGACGATTGGAGAGTTAGCCCCTTCTCTTTCATTTCTTGTAGATCAACAGACAGAAGGCTAGTGTCCAAGGATTGGGGAGTTAGCCCCTTCTCTTTCATTTCTGGTAGCTTCTGGTAGATCAGTAGACAGAAGGCCGGTGTCCGACGATTGGAGAGTTAGC